CCCCCCCCCCCCCCCCGCCCCCCCCCGGGCCCCCGCCAGGCCCGCCGCGCCGGCTCCGCCCCTCCCCGCCCGGCCGGGCCCCATTCCCAGCCCCGGTGCACCGCACCCCAGGGCGGGCAGGCGCGGCAGAGCCCGGGGAGCTCCGGGGCCCCCAGCAGCGCCCTCCTCCCACAGGCCGCAAAGGCCGGCCCCGGAGCGAGCGCTGCCGCAGCCCCGACCAGGCCCGCGCCCCGGCCTGCGCGGACGCCGCCCTGGTCTCTCACCTGCGTTCCCACCACGACGATCTGAGGCAACTGGATGATGTCGGCGCCCACCGTGTTGAAGACGTCCTGCAGCTTGTTGATAACAGGAATTAGCGCCTCCATGACTCGGAAAACACGGGACCCCCGTCCGACCGGCCGCGGCAATGAATGGGGCCGGGGCCCACAGCCCGCCTCCCTCCTCTTCTCCTCCGCCCTCTCCTCGAGAGCCGGCACCCATTGGGCCCCGCCCGCCCGCTACCTGCCCCCTCCCGGCAGGCCATGCGCCAAGAGGGAAGCGGAGAGTAACAACGCCTGCCGGGAGTTGTAGTTCTGGGGCGGAGCAACGCCAGGGCCTACGGCTTCCAGAAGGCTGAGCGGCGAGGGCTAACCCCGAGCTGCGAAGAGGCGGTTGGGTGCTTGGGGCGGGAATGTTTCTCCGGCTCTTGTCAGAACACTAGGGAGCCAGGTCCGGAGAGTAGGAGGGAAGAGACACATTTATGCCTGTCCTCGAGGCATAATATGTGTAAAAATGCCAGGTATGAGTATGTGTTAAGTACAGCGGAGTCTCTTGATTATAAGAGATGTCATTTTCTTATGAGGACGCTTTCTCTGGAAGGGCGGGTTGGAAAGGCTGAGAGAATAGCTCATCGCCTCAGACACCCCGCCAGGTGCAAAAGATCCCTAGGCTGATACTAGAGGGGATGGGGTGCTAGGTAGCAAAAATTCAAAACCAGCTCAGGTTAGAACACTCGGGTTCTCCAGAATATTTGTTGAAATGTGTTCAGAAAAAATCTTAACAGTGTCAAGAGTTTTAGAGGGGAAGGGGTGGGCCCTTGTTCTCTCTGTTTTGTATAAATCTTCATTTACTGTGGCCCAATTTCTGGCAAAGTGGAGATCTGATAACTGCCTTACTAGGTTTTTTGCTGAGTGGGCCTGCTATTCTATTCCTAAATGTTGTTTTTCTTTTTAGACAGAGCATATGTCTCTCGCCCAAATATCCAAAGGCTTCCTATCGCAAAGTAAAAAAAAAAAAAGGTGACCTTTGAGCAAGGACCTAAAATAGGTAAGGAGAAAGCCTCCTTCCCTACTTTATTTTTCTAGATAGTATTTATCTCTGTCTAATGTGCTATATATTGAACTTGGTTACTGTCTCCTGCCGCTTGCTAGATTATCACCTCTTAGAGGCCGGGGATTTTTGACTGTTTAATTCATTGATGCATCCCTAGCTCCTAGAAAGTGATAAACAAGATAGTCCTAATCTTAGTCCCCTCTGAGTTTACAATCTAACAGATTATGACCCCATTATAAATAAAGGCGTAAAGTGCTATGACTGGGTGTATTATGGAGCACATAATGGGAGCACTTTTTCTATGGGGGAGGGGGAGTGAAAGTTCAAACAAGACTTCCTAGAAGTTGCTGGATTTAATCTCCATGAAGGCAGGGATCACCTGCAGTAGTGGAAGTTGTGCACTACACAGTGTCAGTGGGTACCATTCACTGGCACAGCCATACACAGTAGCCCTGGGGAATATGCTCAATTTGTTCAGCAGGACACGTGGTAGGTACTCAATAAATATTTTTAAACAAATGAATGAAATGTCATCTCAGCTAAGACCTGAAGGTCCACTAGTGGTGTTTCGGCATCATCAAGTTATATGAGCATTCCCTTCTCTTTGATTCCTTTTTCAGAAAATTTCGGAGACAAAATTTCAGAACTGCAAAAACAGAGAGCAGACCAAAGACGTTTATTCCAAGTCCTTTTATTTTCTACCCAAGATGATATTGTATGATAGTCAGATGTTACCCACTTTGCTTCTCAGCCCTCTGTTGATGGAGCTTTTCTCTTCTTTTTCTCTGAGCAGTCTGTGTTCCTTCCCTGAAGAGAAGGCCAACAAATGGAGAGGGTGGGCTCATGGTATAGCTCCATGGGCAGAACCAGTAACTGCTTCATAGGGACAGGGTGCCCTGGGGCAAAAATGATGCAACTACAACTGTTTTTTCCTTATTTGGGGCGCCAATAGACATAATCTTTTCCTATTTGCTAATGGTAAAATTTAAAAAGCAAGCATACGTATGTTCCAGAAAGAGAAATGTCATGAATTTTGCATGGCATTATATATTTCCATTTAAATTATAAAATGTCTGTTAGAATGGAACACACAGAGCCTGGTGTTAACATGCTTCAGGAACGATAGTGGCTACTTTTTAATTCTATCTTTTTTTAGAAGGAAGAATAATTAAATGGCCAATGGTTAAAAGTCCTCATATCACCCCACCACCACCACCAGTTAGGTTTAAACAGAATAGTCCAGTACTTGTCTGGACGCTAGAGCATCGAGTTCATCAGACACAGAAGAAAAGAAAATTGTCTGAGGCTGCAGATACAGGAAGTGCTGAGGCCTTGAAAACGCGTGGCTCTAATTTGATAACATTTTTTTTTTAACACAGGCAGGATACTCTATGTGCAGTGTATTTCACTGGAAGCAAACCAATTTGGGTTTTCACATTTTAAGTTCACAACACTCTTGCTTATGGGAAAGCCGCTTAGCCAATAAGTATGTCTTTCCTCATCGAAAGTCGGATAAAGTCTTTCTCAGTGGGTTGCTATGAAATCACATTAAGCCATTAACTGGTGCTGTCTCCAAAGGCTTTTTTAAGAACTCTTCTCCTTCAGCCATCCCACTCTCACTGTAAGTTTGTGATTAATAATCTAGGCAGGACAGTTTGGTTAAAAGTCACAGAAATTGGGGCCCAGTCCCGTGGCCGAGTGGTTAAGTTCGTGCGCTCCACTTCCTTGGCCCAGGGTTTTGCTGGTTCGGATCCTGGGTATGGATGTGGCACTGCTCGTCAGGCCATGCTGAGGCAGCATCCCACATGTCACAACTAGAAGGACCAACAGCTAAAATATACAACTATGTACTGGGGGGATTTGGGGAGAAAAAGCAGAAAAAAAAAGAAGATTGGCAACTGTTATTAACTCAGGTGCCAATCTTAAAAAAGAAAGTCACAGAAATTTAGTCAAACTAACTGGCTCGAAAAGAGGAGTCAGTTACTTGTATAACCAAAGGGCTAGCATGACCTTGGTCTCAAAAATACCTGGAACCAGGGACTCGGGCAGCATCAGAATTCTCTCTGCCTCTTATCTCTGCTTCCCTCTGCATCATCTACTTCATTGTCTCAAACCAAGTTACTCTTGTGGATGAGATGAGCCCTGTGGAGGCCATAGGGGATCTCATTGTAAGCTGGAGGCCATAGGGGATCTCATTGTAAGCTGCCTCCAGGCAGATGAGGTTGAGTGAATCTGGGGAGGAACTGAAACTGTGTTTCCACCCTGTTTCCCTGGTATATGAGTTTCCTATTGCTCCCTTAACAAATTACCACAAATTTAGTGGCTTAAAACAACAAAAATGTTTTATCTTACAGCACTGTAGGTCAGAAGTCCAACTCAGGTCTCACTGGGCTAAAATCAAGGTATCACCAGGGCGGCATTTCTTTCTGGAGCCTCCGCAGAAGAGTCCATCTCCTTGCCTTTTCCACATTTGAGATCACCCACATTCCTAGCTCTTGACCCCCTTCCAACATCTTCAAAGCTAGCAGTGTCACATCTCTTCAATCCTTCTTGTGTCATCCCATCACTTTCTGACCACATCCAGGGAAGGTTCTCTGCTTTTAAGAACCCATCATTAGATTGGCCCACCTGGATAACCCAGGACGCTCTCCCCATCACAAAGTCCATACCTTGACTCAGGTCTCCAACGTCCCTTTTGCCATATAAAGTTCTCAGGTTCCGGGGTTTAGGGCATGGATGTGTCTGAGGGACCATTATTCTGCCTACCACAGCAGGTTAAGGTGACTGGTCTGGGGATGGACCTGACCCAAGCAGGAGCTTTTAGAGGCCTTCCCTGAGAATTTTTTAACTTGAATTAACCAGAGAATTTTCTGCCTCCGGTTATGGAACTATAAGGATTTGATTCTTTGTCTCCAGAGATCATGTTTCCTACCACAGGGAATAAATTGGCTTTGGAGAATAAAATAGACTCCTTTTTCACTGTAAAAAAAAAAAAAAAACTTCCCAAATCCAACAATTGCCCTATACTTCTAAATGTACATATATAGCACATAATCTAGCAATTCAAATCCCCATAGTTTATTTCTTCTTCTTTTCTCTGTTGCCCTTTTCACACAATATTATTAAACTATTATTTATTGAGTACTTCCTGTATGTGAGGCACTGTGCTCAGCATTTTACAATTGCCTCTTGGGAAGGGTTTACAGATTTGGAAACTGAGGCCCCAGGGCTTTAAGTAGAGTGATAGATTTACATAGCTAGTATGTGGCAAAGCTGGGATCTAACAGACTATTTGGCAAACTCTTAACCTCTACACGTACTGCCACATTTCTTCATTCGTTCTCTCATTTACTCAACACATATTTATCAAGTACCTATTAGGCATGTGGATCTTAGGCAGGCATTATATTTACCTAAGGGAGGGAGAAAGAACTGTGACATGACAGTAACATGCCCTTCCCCCTTAGCCAATAGTGAGCTCCCTGACGGCAGAAGTTATTTAGCTAGTGGTCTCCACCACCTAGTATGATGCTTGTTCCATAGTACCACTCTAGTGGACTTAGGGTTTCCTTTTCTTTTATTTGGAAAGTCTGGAATAGCAAGGATTTAAGCAGCTCTGAATTGGTCCAATTGCAACCAGGATTTGCAATCAAACCCAGCCAAAACATGTGAGGCTGGCCTGGCATACGACTCCTGATCAGAATAGCTGCCAAATTACTGTATGGCTGGCTTCATTCTAACTTAAAGTCCCTAATGAGAGAAAGTTTATTTTGAATTAAATTAATAACTGGAAATTATTTTAATAATTCTTGCAAAAGATCATTCAGACTACTTTTTAATAGCGTAAGTGTCCAATATCATTTTATGCCAACTTTTTTTTTTTTTAAAGATTGGCACCTGAGATAACAACTGTTGCCAATCTTTTTGTTTTTTCTGCTTTATCTCCCCAACCCCCGCCCCCGTACATAGTTGTATATCTTAGTTGTGGGTCCTTCTAGTTGTGGCATGTGGGACGCCACCTCAACGTGACCTCACGAGCAGTGCCATGTCGGCGCCCAGGGTCCGAACCCTGGGCTGCCGCAGCGGAGCTCGCAAACTTAACCACTCGGCCACGGGGTCGGCCCCTATGCCAATGTTTTGATCATCAATCATAGCCAAGCTGCCGTTATACATGCCTTGAAAGCATAGCGGAGCATGCAGATCTAACGTTAATATAGAATATACAACTCTGATCGGGTCGCCTCTTGTTATATTTTAGAAACTGCCTGTATTTTGCAAAGACAATAAAGTAAACAGCTTTAATCAATTTGCACTACTCCCTAGGCCTCAAGCTTAACACATACTTTGTTAGCAGGTGTAGGAAATTGTCAGCAGATGGTGGAATCCATCAGGTGGTTCAGAAGCCAACAATTGAATCTGGTGAGATACTGACAACCCATTAGAGGGCAGTGTGACAACACAATTAAGAGTAGTAGAGGCATCTCATCTCCCTAGACTATTTTCTTCCCTTTGCTCCACATCCAGACACCAATGGAACTTAGCCTTTCTTTTAATCCTCCCACCCTCAAAACATGCGGCATATGTTGCTAACTGTTTGAGATAATGGAGTGATTTTACATCACAGTAATGCCAACAACCGGAAATTGCATGTTAGACATCCGTGTTCTTAAGCTACTTCACCTGCCCTGTCTCTGGAACTTTCTCATTAGCCTCTTTTCTTTACCACTGTATTCCAGGTTCCTAAAATGTTATTTGGCATTCTTAGAAGCTCCTAAGATCTCCGTTTTCCTCTGTTTTCCAGGCTTCTTTTTTATCTCCCTCACACCAGTTCAATTAGCTCACTCTTTATGGTGAAGAGGAGCTTAGCTTTTTAGCTCTTAGTTACTTTTGCATATCCAACGGCTCTACTAATACCTTGTGATAAACAAAGGGACATCTACCCTGGATTTCTTCCTTTAGCAACCACGTCTAGTAGAGACTTAGAACATCCTTCCTTTCTAATTCCCCAGCCAGTCGGTCTAACCAGTAGCGGGCAGCATGAGTCAATTTAAGTGGTTTTTTGGGTTTCTGTTTGTTTGTTTTGCTGAGGAAGATTCACCCTGAACTAACATCTGTGCCATTCTTCCTCTATTTTGTATGTGGGACACCGCCCCACTGTGGCTTCTGAGGACGGGTGTAGGTCCATGCCGGGAACCAAACCCAGGCCACCAACGCAGAGCGCACCGAACTTAATCACTGGGCCACAGGGCTAGACCCACAATTTAAGTTTTAACAACCAATTTTCTCGAAATGCCATACAGTCGTGAAGGATGGCAAGACTTACACATCAGTGACAGAATTAGTAAAATTGGTGAATAATGCAGTATACCTTAAAGTACTAAGTGCAGCATCTATAACATGTATAAAGGTTTATCCAAAAGTTGACTTTTTGTTTCTTTCTGATGACTTTTATTTATTCTAATTCCTTTTCAGTTACTGAATGTTTGACCAAATGGATGAGTGGATAGATAGATGGATGGATGAATGAATGATTAAGTAAGTGTTTTGCATATTAAATATACTTCATCTGGGCTAGTCAGGGACTAACAAGTTATTTTAGAACTACTACAGCAAAAGGAAAAAAGTTCTGAATTAATCATCCTCTTTAAGAAGCCATGACCTTACTCCCAACTCCTGATCTATGAAATAGGAATAATAATATAACTACTAAGGATGTGACGTACCACCAAAACAAAAGAAAGTTTTTAAACAGCATGAGCAGTACTGTAAGTTAATGCAAAGGTAGAAAATGATGTACCCCAAAATCCAGACCGTGGTCTTGAATGTGTGCCACTATTCACACCAGTAGCAAAAACAAAAACAAACAAGATTAAAAAGAAAACAGAAGAATGGGCATTAAATATTATGTTAAGAACTCAAGATGGCAAAGGTGAACAAAACACATTCATTGGCATTCCTCAAATCTCTTTTCTTCTCATTCCCTCCTCGCAAGAAGAAAACAGGCAAGTAACCAGAATTACTATCATAGAAGTCACCACATTGGAGAGGGACCTAACCTGAGCTTCCTGGATTAAAGGATGAATAGGAGTTGACCAGATAAAAAGGAAGAGAGAGAACTTCCACACCAGGCAGAGGGAGCAGCTTGTACAAAGGTAAAGAGGAAGGAAAGGACGTGATACATTCTGGATGCTTTAAATAGTTTAGTGAGGCTAAGTATAGGGCAAGAGGGTCTGTGAGAGAATGGTGAGGGGCAAGGCTAACAGCTGGTCAGTCAGAGGTGAACTCATGACAGTGAGGAGCTAGAGGTGTATCTTGAAAGTATGGAGAAAATCAGCAGAGTAGGTAAAGAGACACATGATCTTATGAATTTTGTAAAGATCACCCCCAACCCACTGGATTGGGATGAGGTAAGGGAGAATGGGAAACCGGATAGGGAGTGTTGCAGTAATTCAAGTCAGAGATGATGGTAATGTACACTAGCGTGGTAATAGAGGAGGTGGAGACACCTGGACAAATATAGAATCGATGCAGTCGTCCAGAGAACATAAAGAAGGAAAAAAAACGGCCAAGGGCAGAATGGGTAATAGGAACATTTAAGAGGAGAGAGAGGAAGGATGTTAAAGAAAGAAACCATAAAACTAAAAAGATAAAAGGAAAAATAAAAGAGAGAATGGCTTGTTCAAAATGTCTTTCAACCTCCTTCCTGTGGGCCCTTCTTTGCTTCAGAAGCTGAAAAGCTAAAAACATTTCCCAATTCTTTGCAACTAGTGTCCCAGATGTAATTTTAGTCTTATAAAACAGATGCATTCACCCAAAGCTTAAATTTTGAACTAAATTGTCAGAGGATGGAAGAGTTGCATAAGGCATCCATTTTGCTTCTGTAAATCATAGGAGGCATGACGTGGTTCTGGAGTTAATAGTTCTGATGATGCTTTCCTGATTCTCAGAGAGGCGCTGGGGTGAAGAGATCCCGAGAGCCAGCTCCTGATTGTGGTAAATATGTCAGTAACTGTTGGTGCCCCAATTTTGTGGCATTGTTCTGGGAGTACAGTCATGCACTGCATAATGATGTTTCGGACAAGGACAGACCATATATCCGACAGTGGTCCCATAAGATTAGTACCATATAGCCTAGGTGTGCAGTAGGCTATACCATCAAGGTTTGTGTAAGTACACTCTATGATGTTCCCACAATGATGAAATCGCCTAATGATGCATTTCTCAGAACATATCCCCATCGTTAAGCAAAGCATGACTGTAATTCCAGGATATCTAGCCTAGAGCCTGTTTTTCTAGTCATTCTAACAGATTCATAAGCACGTAATTCCATGTATTAAATTTCTTTATGCAAAAACTTGATAGATGAATGTATTCATTTCCTAAGACTACTGTAGCAAAGTACCACAAACCGTTGGTTTAGAACAACAGAAATTTATTCTCTCTTAGTTCCAGAAGCTAGAAGTCCAAAATCAAGATGTCAGCAGGATTGGCTCCTTTTGAGGTTCCATGCCTCTCTCCTAGCTTTTGGTGACCCAAGCATTTGTTGGCTTGTGGCAACATACCTGTAATCTCTGCTTCCATCTTCACGTGGTGATCTGCTCCCTGCATGTGTTCACGGCATCTTCCTTCTGTGCATGTCCGTATCTGTGTCCAAATGACTTCCTTTTATAGTGACATCAGTCATGTTGGGTTAAGGCTCACTCTAATGACCTCATTTTAACAGGAGACAGAAGAAGGATTTTAACTGGAAGGAATTTTAACTTGATTACCTCTATAAAGACCCTGTTTCCAAATAAGATCATATTCTGAGGTACTAACGGTTGGGACTTAAACATATCTTTTGGGGGGAACACTGTTCGATCTATAATAAGGAGTATGACAGGAACATTTGGTATTCATTAAATATCCGTATGGTTCTCATATTTCCCAACCTCCTTTGCAGTTTGCTTGGGGCCCTGTGACTAGTTCTGCAATAACTGGGAACAGAGGTAGCATGTGTTTCTTCTGGGCTGGGTCAGTGAAAAGCCTTGTTCAACCCTCTAGCTTCCTTCTCCTGCTTTGGCAAACTCGAAAGCCACATATTGAGAGAGTAATGTAGCAAGACGGTCAAGCCTCAGTCAGCCTTCGTCCCTGAGTGTCTCCGTGGAATAGAGTCCCCTGCCAAAACATATTAGACATGTAACATGAGCAAGAAATAAATCTTTGTGGTGTAGAGACACTAAGATTTAGAGGTCTCTTGCAGAAGTTGGTGTTAATTATCTTCATTAAGCAGCCTTACCCTGATGGACACATTCTTGGAGAAGTTCCTGTCCTGGGAGTTCAGTTTGTGTCCTGAAGTAGGCTTTTCAAAGCATCTGCTAAAAACAGTGTGCTTCTCTCAGCAAAGAATATCTAAGAATAAGAGTATAAAGAGGAGGATTGGCAGTAGTTAGCTCAGTGCTAATCCTCCTCAAAAAAAAAAAGTATAAAAATCTCTATGTATCTGTGTTAGTCTGCTGAGGCTACCCAAGGCTTATACCTCTGGCCTGTGTACCTGATCCAGAGGTTCACTAAAAGCCACTTTCCCACCCTCACCCCCACCCCGCTTGCCGATTGTGTGTTATAGATCGCACATCTCACTCTCCAGGTCCCATGATACAGCGTTAGCATGTTGGTGAGATTTAGATTACTTTTATCACACCCAAACTAGGGTATGTCCTCAAGCTAGGAGGTTCTTTGAAGGCTGTTTTTACATTTTTTTTTTCCACCTCAAAGAAAGGGTGGAAATGAATTTTAAAAATAATAATGAAGGGTAAAAAGGGGAAGGTAAGTCATCTGAACTCTGTTGACACCTTGTCAAATCCCTTGCCCTGGAAGTAATTACCATTAAGGTTTCTTGTGTGTGCTTTAGGAATTTTCCACACATGTGTAAGTGGGAGTAGCATCATATTGTTTTACAATTCATTTCTTTAAATTTTCACCTACTAGTCTGTAGGCATCTTTCCAAATCAGTGTGTGTAGCATCACCTCATTCTTTTTAACACCTGTAAATGTTGTTTATGATTTGGTTTGTTTTTAAAATAGCACTGGGGGGCTGACCCGGTGGTATAGTGGTTAAGTTTGCACACTCTGCTTCAGCAGCCCAGGATTTGCAGGTTTGGATCCCAGGCACGGACCTACACATGGCTCATCAAGCCATGCTGTGGTGGTGTCCCATATACAAAATGGAGGAAGACTGGCACAGATGTTAGCTCAGTGACAATCTTCCTCAGGCAAAAAGAGGAAAATTGGCAACAGATGTTAGCTCAGGGCCAATCTTCCTCACCAAAAAAAAAGATCCACTTGTCCACTTTGTAAAGAAGAGAGATGGTAAAAAATCAAACAAACAAACAAACAGAAAACCTGCAGTGGTGCCTCAAAAGGCACCCACACTGATAGAACTTGAAAATTATTGTTGGAGTGAGTACCAAGAAATGTTCCTTACCTAATGTAATAATCCATGGATGATGGGGGATGTGTGGCCTTAGATAGGCTACCTATCCTTTCTGAGCTTCAATGTTTCCATCTGCAAAAAAGAGAAATGTTTCTTGCCAGAGAGTCGTGGTAGAATTTGATGAGATAATGCATCTAGGGCAACCTGGTAAGGTGGAAATGGTGTTTTGGGGAGGAGTATTCTGTATTCTCTAAAGCATGGGTTTTATAGGCAGACAAAATATGCTTGAATCCAAGTTCTACTTACCAGTTCTAACCTGGGATGAATGATGTAAGCTCTCTGAGCCTCAGTTTGTTCATCTAGAACATACATGAAAGAATAGTGGTGAGATTTAAAACAAAATAATACATATAAAGGGCTTAAAACAGTGTTTTTTTCATAAAATGTGCTCAATAACAGTAGCTATTAGTGTTGTGTGGCCCTTGAAGCCAGATAAACCTGGGCTTAAAATCTACCTTGGCCACTCCTTAGATATATGTCCCTGAGGAGTTCTCTTAAAGTTCTGAGCCTCAGTTTTCTCATCCTACTCTATCAGATTGTGAGGATGAAAGAGATGCTTCATATAGTCCCCCAAACATGGTAGATACAGACACTTAGCACTGTGTTCAGGTCTTTGAATGGGAACCCACATCAGCTACTTCTCTCTTTCCTTCCTAGCTCTTCACTTCACAGATGAAGTATATTTAAAGTTTAGTATAGGTGTGTTGAAGAAAGGTTTTAAAGTCAGAAGCCCTGGTGCCCTTTTGTCATTGTCAAATCTTTGAAAGTCCTTTCTACGGGTTCTGTCTTACCCTACAGCTCTGAAGAAATGTAACGAGGTGTAATGAATAGTGATAAAACACCCTCAGATCAGGACACTAATCTTTTAATTATTTAAGCAAAAAAATGCACAGAGGCCTTCTTTCTTCAAGGCATACATTTTCTCAGAAAATCAGTTTCTGAAGTTATCAGGTAACGACTAACACCGGTTCTATTTCTCCATTGAATTTACAAGTTCAATAGGAACACGAATCATAATGACATGTTGTGGGGGTGAGGAGTGGTTTTTGGGGGCCCCAATTCATAGCCCCCAATCATCCAGTCATCCCCAAGGAATGGCAATGCTGAGGAATATCCTAGGAAAATGTTAAGCTAGAGAAATAGAGATGGCTCTGAAAGACAAAAGTTTAGCAGTCATAGTTCAAGACTATTTAAGGACAGTGATCCTCAAAGCTTGCAGGTCACAGATCGTGTTCCCAGTCCACTGGTATTTAGGCTATTCTTGTCTCTCCATGAGTTCCCAGATTTCATAGATGAGATAAGGAGTCACTTTACTCGAGGGACCTTATTGCTGAATACTCACCAACTACAGACTGAGGACAGAGGGACACTACTTGAGGTCCATAAAGCATTCTAGCTAGATGTCATTATCTTTCCATTTGGACCCAAGGGAAATAGCACAAGAAAGGGGACAGACGAAAGGAGGAGAGGGTTGTAGGAAAGTAAAGGCTCTGGAGCAGGGCCTCTCAACTTCAGCACTGCTGAGATTTGGGGCTGGAACATGCTTTGTTATGAGGGCACTGTCTTCTGTACCACAGGATGTGCAGCAGCATCCCTGGCCTCTACTCACTAGATGCCAGTAGCACTATGCCTCTCCCAGTTGTGACACCCAAAACTATCTCCAAACGTTCCTGGAGATGGAGAAGAAAGGAGATAGAAAACCAGGTTGAGTGCTCACACTGCCCTGGAATGTGAGGAGGCAAAGACTGGGAATACACCCTGGCCACCCCCCAGTTTCCTTTCTCCTTTATAAACGTTTTACTGCTTTAGAAAGGCTTTTTGTGGATCCTTTCATTCCTTTCTCGTTTTCAGCTGGACAGCTCTCTCTGTTTTCATTCTAGTCACCCTGACACAGGCTGAAACTTACCCCAGAGACACTCAGTGAAGCCTTTGGGTTGCTGGGTGGAGAGTAAGAGGGTGTGAGGTCCCAGAGAGCAAGCCAGAGCATTGAGATCCCATCTGAACAGGGCTCATGGCCTAAGTGTAACCCTGAAGACTAATGTTCTTCCCTCACTTTTAACTATCACAGTGGTTCATAAGAATGGGGGTGGGCAGGTAGAGGAAGAGGGGATGAATCAGAATCATTTGTGCAGAAAATTATACATCTTTGTCCACCTGCCAGCGCATGCCCCAGGCACAACAAAATTGCAGCAGTGGGCTAGGTATGCATTTTTCAATGCACGTCCCACACGATTCTCAGGTGTTACTTCCTCCCACTCTCTCCTCTCAGTTGAACCACCTGCCTGGGAAGTTTCCAGTGACATCTAACCTCAGTCACAGAGGGAACGTTCAATAGCAAGTTAAAGATGTTCTTTGAAGCATTACTTAAACTAGTGAAAAACGAGGAATAGCAAATTTGATAAATTGTGGTGAAGTATAAATTAAATAATTCATGTAAAGTCCTTAGAATAGTGTCTAGCACATAGCAAGCCCTCAAATGCTGACTATGACTATGTAAAACTGCTTTTGAAGATAAAGTGCTTAGAGTATGATGTTAAATGAAATTAACAAGACCCCAGGCTAGGTATAGTGCATCCCTATTTTATAAAGAGATATCTATAATTTGGGGATCCCAGCTCAAGACTGAGCTGTTGTGCTCTATC